GGTTCCAGTTCAATTGAATGGTTCTTTGATTTAGTTTCAATGTACTGGAATGAGGGGTGATTAGGACCTTAATTATATACTTAAATATGATCTAGTTAGACTTAGGTCTAATTTAATTTAATCTAGTTACAAGTACAAATATTATATATATAAATTGGTACTAAAGTCAAAGACATGTTCCATGACTTTAGCAATTTGTCACACTAAGTACATTACATATATGTAGCTTCTAGGGAGGCCGGCCACATGGGGAGGATTTGAGGGGATTTTCATTTATATTTTGTGTACAAATGAATATATTTATTATACATTTTGTGTATAAAAAGAATTGAATATGATTAAGGGTACATATATGTATATAAAGGTACCAGTTTGGTATCAAAATGCGATTCAAGAAAAACATGAGGGCCAAAGTCTTTGATTATGAATTTGAATATTTAACTAAGTGTAGTATTTATTTAGAATTTGAGAATTTAATTTGGTTAAAATTTCTTTGTTTTGAATTAAACGGAGAATTGTACTGAGAACCGGAAATCTAGGTTTCTGTGTGAAAAATATATTTAGAAAATTAATTTAATTATTATTAGGATTTTAGAAATGGGTCTTGAGTTCTTAGATTCAATCAAGATTTGTGAGTTTTCAGTTGGCGAGCGTTTTCGACTCTATAGCTAAGATTGAAAACAAATAAGGAATCGGGGGTCTTTAATGAAATAGTTCAAAAGTAAGGGTCAAAATAAAATTACAAAGGTCAATGGCTTCATAGTTAAATAATTAATATTAGGGTGCAAAAATGATTACTAAGCTATTGGAGCCGATTAGGGCTTGTGTGGGTTCATTCGTGATGCGTTTTTTGTTTTAGGGTTAAATTTGCAAATATACGAAGAACTAATGGTTTTATTATAATAACTCAAAATTTAAAAGCTTAATAAGGTTTGCAAAAGTTAAGGGACTCACATTAATTTTTCCTACAAATTTTTTTATTTGTATAGTAATATGAGGATTGCTTCTAATTTTGTTTGGCTCTCAACTCAGTTTAGTTCTGTGCATATGATTAATTAGAATTTTCATTTTCTCAAAAAACATTGCAAGAATTACTCACTTCAACCATCACGTGATAGAATGAATTTTAACTAGAATTGACTAACGGATCAAAACATAGCTAATTTGCAAAATACTTCTGAAAAGTTCTCATTGTATGCAGATTACACTCCGTACATGTATAAACTCTTGAGTTACATAATCACACAGTTCAAAATCTCTCGCTCTCTCTCTCTCTCTCTCTCTCTCTCTCTGTGTGAGAGTTATCATCTAAATTTTACTCTTCCCAACTTGTCAAAACATTTTGAGATCAACAAATAAGGTTGTTAAGAATTTTCTATCCCTCTCTCTCAAAATTCTTACAATCATCTAATCATATCATAAACTCAGGAGGACAGAGAGATTCTGATATCGCCGAAGTGGTGATAATTGCACTTTTTGAGAGGAATTGGAGCCATTCTTAGATGAGAAGAAAAAAGCCAAAGAATTGGTCACACCCAACACAATAGTCACCTTCACTTGTCCTCGCCTTGGGATCGAATGGCTATAAGTACACCTCCCTAAGGAATTTCCACCGTTGATGATCATTTCTGTCCTTGCACCTGCTATCTCATATCCATATGAAAGAAAAAGAAGAGGTTGGCTTTTCTGATGAATGGTGGTGGTACTTGTATTGTTGTCAGAGAGTTTGTGATGAGTGATTTGGTATGGGGTGTGATGGTATTGTCCATGGTCTATATACAATGGTGAAGCTTAATATTTGCCCCTTGTTTTTTGCCAAAATTATATTTTGATATTTTCTCCACCATCTTGACTCGCTACTTGCATTCACACCTCTCTTTCTTTGATTAATAATAGTTGCATGCACTCACACTTGCAGGATACTACTTTAAAATGTGGGGTCCAATTGCTCCAAAAAACAAGAAAAAAAAAATTTGCTCACAAGATTCACTCATGTCAACAAGGACAAAGATAAAGATAGTGGCCAAATGGCAATTTTATAATACAAAACAGTAGAGCATAAATTTCAGATGAGTGGAGTTGGGTAATGTAATGTCTGCATATGAATAACGTGGGTTACTTTCTTTTTCTTTTTTTTTTAATTTACCAAAATGTGTATATAATTTAAGGAGAGACTTCTCTCTAATTTAAGATTGAAATAGTGTATGTTATTGGATTTGTGGGATCTATTACTGGTCTTGTTTTGATAATCAAATTGGTTGATGGTTAAAACTTACTGAGTATTTCAGTCCTGCAAAAAATCACAAATATCGATAGCTGTTTGATTAAATTATATTTCTATCAACAGTAAATATAATTTTAAAAAAAATTATTGACAAATATCTGATCTGATCAAATGACTATTGATATCTATTCAATGTAATTTTTTGTAGAAATGAAATAATCGACAAATTTTACACACTGAACGATTTAAATTATCGAAACAGAATTCATGATAAATCATATGAGTTCAAACAATAAGGAGTGGACCGGAGAGAATCTGAGCCTATAATTTAATGATAATAAATCTAATGACATCGTAACAGGGACCATGTGGGCTCTGTCTTGTCAGCTCAAAAATACAAGTCCCCTTCCTCTCGAGAGCAGATCCTCTCCTTGCAAACACTTACGAGCATGCGTCCTTGCAACGGCTGAGATCAGCCGTTGCACATCCAACGGCTGAGATTAAAAAAAAAAAATTCCAATTTCTATTCTATTCGTTCCCGCCCAAAACAAAACATAGAGTTGGTCTGAACTCGTGGGAAAACACAACTCATTGAACACAGTCAGTGGTTCTTGTCCGAACGGCGACCCAATACCGGCGGCGACCCAGTGTACCCAGTCTCCACGCCGTTGCAAGGACCGACGACGCCACAGGTCAGTTCCCCTTTGCCTCTGTAAATCAGAAATTAATGTATATCAAGCTTAATACTGTACTACTCTCCTCCAGACTGCTGCGTTTTTTCCTTATGAAGCTTAATCTTAACAGATAGGTTCATTGATAAAAAAATAGTAACGGCGTAATGGAAATGAACCTTAACGGCGTAATGGAAATGAACCTTAACGGGTAAAAAATATGGACAAATCTGTTAAGGTTGATTTCCAATCTGTTAAGATTAACCTATCTGTTAAGATTAAAAAAAAAATAGATAAAGAAATTAATGGGCAAATGTGTTAAGAGACAAAATCTGTATTTGAAGATCTACAGATTGAATATTCAATCAGTTTCTGTATTTTAAGATTTTAATCTGTTTCAAAATCTATTTAATTAGTTTCAGTATTTGAAGATTACTTTTAATGGACAAATGTGTTAATTTATTTTGTGTTAAACCACAGATTTTGAAATCACAGATTTTACTTTTAATTCAAAATATGTGTTAATGAAATCAATAGGGTATGTTACCACGTGGTTATGTAATCAACATTTAAAATTTGTGAGTATGCTAGTAGCAGATCCTCATCAAAATTGCCTATTTTTAATTCAACATTCAAAAATTGTGAGTATGCTAGCAGCAAATCCTCACTCATTCATTGTTATGTAATCAATAGGGTTTTTAAATATGTCCAAAATTAATTCAACATCTGCACTATCTGCACTCTATTTTATTTCTAACACAGATTTTGAAATATAATTGATCTGCACTCTATAAAGTAAATATGTTGAATTGATTTCATTGGTGTAACACAGATTTTGAAGATTACTCTATTTAATCAGAGGTTTGCCAAATGATTTTGTAACATAAGTTATTTAATCAGTCATGTGAACAGATAAGGTGTTTACTGGAATGTGATGAATTTTTTATTTATGTAGCTAAGATTTTATTTATATGGGTTTTCAGTTGCATTTTCATATGGATATGGAACCTGAGAATGATTGTGCTTGGAAGCCAAAACAGGGAATGACATTCGATTCTGAACAATGTGTGTATGATTTTTATAATACATATGGAGGAAGAATGGGGTTTAGCATAAGAAGGGATTTCTGTAGGAAGAACAAGATCAATAACCAACTTATTTGTAGACTTTTGGTTTGCAACAAGGAGGGATTTCGGAAGGGTGACAAACGAGACCCATTGTCAAAAAACCCAAGAGCTGAAACTAGGACCGGTTGTGAGGCTCGACTTTATGTCAAATTAGATGAGGGTACTGGGAAATATGTTGTCACTGATTTCAAAGAAAAACACAACCATGATCTTGTATCACCCGAGTGTGCCCACATGTTGCCGTCACAAAGAAAAATATCGACTACCCAAGCAATTGAGTTAGATTTGGCGGCACAATCTGGTCTTCGTTTAGGCCAGTCTTTTGAACTCATGGGTAGGGAAGCTGGTGGGAGGCAATGTCTTGGGTTTACAAAGTTAGATCAGAAAAATTATTTGAGAACCAAAAGACAACAAAGTTTAGCATATGGGGAAGTAGGCAATGTATTGCAATACTTTAAAGAAAAATCTTTGCAGAATCCTTCCTTCTTTTATGCTTTCCAGTTAGATAATGAAGAGAAAATAACGAATATGTTTTGGGCCAATGCCCAAATGATCATGGATTATGCCCAATTTGGTGATGTTGTCACTTTTGATACTACTTACAAGTTAAACAAAGAACATAGACCCTTCACGTCTTTTGTGGGATTCAACCATCATAGGGAAACAGTTATATTTGGTGCAGCCTTGCTGTATGATGAGACCGCCGAATCGTTTGTATGGTTGTTTCAAAATTTTCTAGAGGCTATGTCAAAAAATGCACCAAAAACTTTGTTCACGGATCAAGATGCTGCAATGGCTAAAGCTATACCCATTGTTATGCCTGACATGAGTCACTGATTGTGTACTTGGCATTTGATGCAAACTGCATTAAAACATGTCAATTGTTTGTTCCAAGATAAGGGGGTAAAGGGTGTATTAAATAAATTCATATTTGACATTGAAGATGAAAATCAATGAAAATTAGAGTGGGTTGAAATGCTTGATAAATATGATGCGCATGAAAACCATTGGTTAAAATTGACATTTGCGGTGAAAGAAAAATGGGGTTGGCCATATGTTAGATCAACATGGGCTGCGGGAATGAGTACCACACAACTTAGTGAATCTTTTAATGCTTTTTTGAAGGATTACATTCGTTCTGATTTTAACTTAAATGAATTCTTCATGCATTTCGAAAGGGTACTTTACGAGAAGCGATACAAGGAGTTAGAAGCAGGATATGCTTTGTGCCAAAGGTTGCCAAAGGTGAAAGCAACAATAAGAATGTTAATTCAAATGGGTAATGTTTACACAAAAAAGATATTTGAAGAATTTCAAAATGAGTACTTTCGATCAATTGAATCGGACATAGAAACAATTGAATATGGCGAGGCTAGTACCATTTACACAGTTGTTGATGTTGGTAACAAACATGCACGGAAAGTGAAGATGGAGAGGGATGGGTCATTGGGTTGTAATTGTACAAAGTTTGAAAGGGAAGGAATCTTGTGCTGTCACTCATTGAAGGTTATTAGAGACATATTGAAGATGAAAGAGGTTCCTCCACAATACATTCTAAAGAGGTGGACGAAACAAGCAAGAGCCGAAACTGTGAAGGACATTAAGGGGAATGACATTCAAGTGGATGTGAAATTCCAGCAAGCCTCGCGGTATAAGACATTGATGACCGCATTTAGAGCACTAGCAAGTAGAGCTGCTGAAACTGAAGAAACTTATGATTTTTGTGTTGCACACCTTGCTACATTAGGTGCAAATATTGAAGGCAAGTTAGGTGCTCTTTTTGGTGCTGGAAATGAAGTAAGTAATGATCATGACACCCAAAGCTTTGAAGTGGATTGCGAAGATGTGAATCATGTTGTGCAACCAAAAGGATTTAAGAAAAAACTGGCAACTAGTAAGGGCAAAAGGAGGGTAAAAGGTGGATTCGAAGTGGCGTTGATAGCGAACTCCAAAAAAAAATCCCGTGCTAACAGCTTCGCTTCGTCACAATCTATTGCAAGTCCAACAGTTGCACCTTCTCCATTATCTGTTGGAGGAGAGATCTATGTTCGTCAACATGTTCCTCCTCTTCAACCTCTTCCTCCCCGTCGTCATTTTCCTCCATCTTTGCCCATGGGTGGTAATTCTATTCCTCCGTCATTGATGAATCCCACATATCATGTAAGTATTAGTAGAATATATGTATGTTTTTTTATGGATATAATATGTGACTCAACCCGTAATTGCGAAGCGTAATATATGACATTGTTCTTTGCCAATTTGCAGGACATGTACGTAGTGCATAATTCAGTGCCAAATTTAATGCCGCAACGGTATCCTACTGAACCAACATTCCAGTCACTACTTCAAGGTTCATATGGATATGACATTGGGTTTCGATATTCTCAAGAATCAAACAGTCCAATGTGGAGTCAGGTTTGTCGTTGATGTGTTTTGAATCTGTTGCTGAAATTTGTATTTGAAGTAGCTTTTTTTTGAAATTTTTTTTTTTCCAATTAAATTCTGTGTTTCTCCATTTCAGGCCATAGAGAAGCACAAAGACAAGCAAACTGCAGATGAAAATGGCATGCAAAGTGAAGTGATACCATCTCAAATTGTGAAGCAAACTCATGCTGAATTGGTGCACAAATTTTGATGTTGCTCAGAAGTGATGTTCAAATTGCTGTTCAAACTCCACTCCAATGTCTGTTGAAATTGTGTTAAACATGTGTGTTCAAACTACTGTTGTATGTGTGTTGAAATTCTAGAGGTTCTGCTATGTTCTAGTCTGGTCTGGTCTGGTTTCGTATGGTCTGGTCTGCTTCTGTTCTGAATCTGCACTCAACAATGCTGTATTGGTTTGTGATTGTGTTTTGAAATAGTAACAGATAGGTTCATTGATAACCTTAATTGATAACAGATAATAACAGATAAGAGAGGTTCTGCTATGTTCTAGTCTGGTCTGGTCTGGTTTCGTATGGTCTGGTCTGCTTCTGTTCTGAATCTGCACTCAACAATGCTGTATTGGTTTGTGATTGTGTTTTGAAATAGTAACAGATAGGTTCATTGATAACCTTAATTGATAACAGATAATAACAGATAAGAGAGGTTCTGCTATGTTCTAGTCTGGTCTGGTCTGGTTTCGTATGGTCTGGTCTGCTTCTGTTCTGAATCTGCACTCAACAATGCTGTATTGGTTTGTGATTGTGTTTTGAAATAGTAACAGATAGGTTCATTGATAACCTTAATTGATAACAGATAATATCAGATAAGAGAGGTTCTGGTCTGTTGTGGTCTGCATCTGCTGCTCTGGTCTGCATCTTCTACTCTGGTCTGGTTCTGCTCTGCTCTGGTCTGCATGTGCTACTCTCGTCTGGTCTGGTCTGCATTTGCTACTGTGGACTGGTCTGGTCTGCATCTGCTATAGTTCAACACAACCCTTGATACAATTCAAAATAGTATTACATAGCATAAATAATGGTTTTGTTACACAACAAAAAGGTATCAGATAGCAACAATACTGTTTTGGCACTAAATAATATCAGATAGCATAAATAATGGTCTGCTTTGGTCTGCTGGGAATGGACTGCTCTGGTCTGAATCTGCATCTGTTGTGGTCTGCATTTGCTACTCTACATCTGTTGTGGTCTGCATCTGTTGTGGTCTACATTTGCTACTCTGCATCTGTTGTGGTCTGCATCTGTTGTGGTCTGCATTTGCTACTCTGCTGGTCTGGTCTGCATCACTGTTCTGGTTCTGGTCTGCTTCTGGTCTGGTCTGGTCTGCATCATCTACAGATAATAACAGATAACAGATAACAGTAATAGTTCAAATGCCATACATTAATGGTTCAATGATAACAGATAATAATGATAACAGATAACAGATAATAACATTCATTGATAACAGATAACAGTAATGGTTCAAATGCCATACATTAATGGTTCAATGATAACAGATAATAATGATAACAGATAACAGATAATAACATTCATTGATAACAGATAACAGTAATGGTTCAAATGCCATACATTAATGGTTCAATGATAACAGATAATAATGATAACAGATAACAGATAATAACATTCATTGATAACAGATAACAGTAATGGTTCAAATGCCATACATTAATGGTTCAATGATAACAGATAATAATGATAACAGATAACAGATAATAACATTCATTGATAACAGATAACAGTAATGGTTCAAATGCCATACATTAATGGTTCAATGATAACAGATAATAATGATAACAGATAACAGATAATAACATTCATTGATAACAGATAACAGTAATGGTTCAAATGCCATACATTAATGGTTCAATGATAACAGATAATAATGATAACAGATAACAGATAATAACATTCATTGATAACAGATAACAGTAATGGTTCAAATGCCATACATTAATGGTTCAATGATAACAGATAATAATGATAACAGATAACAGATAATAACATTCATTGATAACAGATAACAGTAATGGTTCAAATGCCATACATTAATGGTTCAATGATAACAGATAATAATGATAACAGATAACAGATAATAACATTCATTGATAACAGATAACAGTAATGGTTCAAATGCCATACATTAATGGTTCAATGATAACAGATAATAATGATAACAGATAACAGATAATAACATTCATTGATAACAGATAACAGTAATGGTTCAAATGCCATACATTAATGGTTCAATGATAACAGATAATAATGATAACAGATAACAGATAATAACATTCATTGATAACAGATAACAGTAATGGTTCAAATGCCATACATTAATGGTTCAATGATAACAGATAATAATGATAACAGATAACAGATAATAACATTCATTGATAACAGATAACAGTAATGGTTCAAATGCCATACATTAATGGTTCAATGATAACAGATAATAATGATAACAGATAACAGATAATAACATTCATTGATAACAGATAACAGTAATGGTTCAAATGCCATACATTAATGGTTCAATGATAACAGATAATAATGATAACAGATAACAGATAATAACATTCATTGATAACAGATAACAGTAATGGTTCAAATGCCATACATTAATGGTTCAATGATAACAGATAATAATGATAACAGATAACAGATAATAACATTCATTGATAACAGATAACAGTAATGGTTCAAATGCCATACATTAATGGTTCAATGATAACAGATAATAATGATAACAGATAACAGATAATAACATTCATTGATAACAGATAACAGTAATGGTTCAAATGCCATACATTAATGGTTCAATGATAACAGATAATAATGATAACAGATAACAGATAATAACATTCATTGATAACAGATAACAGTAATGGTTCAAATGCCATACATTAATGGTTCAATGATAACAGATAATAATGATAACAGATAACAGATAATAACATTCATTGATAACAGATAACAGTAATGGTTCAAATGCCATACATTAATGGTTCAATGATAACAGATAATAATGATAACAGATAACAGATAATAACATTCATTGATAACAGATAACAGTAATGGTTCAAATGCCATACATTAATGGTTCAATGATAACAGATAATAATGATAACAGATAACAGATAATAACATTCATTGATAACAGATAACAGTAATGGTTCAAATGCCATACATTAATGGTTCAATGATAACAGATAATAATGATAACAGATAACAGATAATAACATTCATTGATAACAGATAACAGTAATGGTTCAAATGCCATACATTAATGGTTCAATGATAACAGATAATAATGATAACAGATAACAGATAATAACATTCATTGATAACAGATAACAGTAATGGTTCAAATGCCATACATTAATGGTTCAATGATAACAGATAATAATGATAACAGATAACAGATAATAACATTCATTGATAACAGATAACAGTAATGGTTCAAATGCCATACATTAATGGTTCAATGATAACAGATAATAATGATAACAGATAACAGATAATAACATTCATTGATAACAGATAACAGTAATGGTTCAAATGCCATACATTAATGGTTCAATGATAACAGATAATAATGATAACAGATAACAGATAATAACATTCATTGATAACAGATAACAGTAATGGTTCAAATGCCATACATTAATGGTTCAATGATAACAGATAATAATGATAACAGATAACAGATAATAACATTCATTGATAACAGATAACAGTAATGGTTCAAATGCCATACATTAATGGTTCAATGATAACAGATAATAATGATAACAGATAACAGATAATAACATTCATTGATAACAGATAACAGTAATGGTTCAAATGCCATACATTAATGGTTCAATGATAACAGATAATAATGATAACAGATAACAGATAATAACATTCATTGATAACAGATAACAGTAATGGTTCAAATGCCATACATTAATGGTTCAATGATAACAGATAATAATGATAACAGATAACAGATAATAACATTCATTGATAACAGATAACAGTAATGGTTCAAATGCCATACATTAATGGTTCAATGATAACAGATAATAATGATAACAGATAACAGATAATAACATTAATTTAAACCCTTTTTTATTATTTTTTTCAAATTTTCATGAAAATTTATAATTCAAATTCAGTAACTTGAATTTGGCAAAAAAAAAAAAAGAGAAAGAGAGAACTTGTCTGATAGTCTGAGAAAAAATTATCAAAAAGTGATAAACATTAATTAAAATTATAAATTTTTTTCATTAGTGTAATAACTTCTGAAAATTACCACCGAATTGTAATTTTTCTATAAATAAAATTAAAAAAAAAATGGAGGGCTTGGAGGAGTAGGATGCTCTGTCTTAATTTTTTTAGGAAAATTCTATGTTAATGTATGTTTCAAAAAATATTTACAAATTAATGATAAACTTCACAAATATTAAAGTGTGAAGAGATAAACTTTTACATTAATTGGTAATTAATTTTTTTAAAAGCAACTGAGTAGTAGTTTTTCAATTTTTTTTCACAAATATACATTAAAATAATTTAATTTAATTACACACTATTGAGATTATAAGAGTGTTTGGAATAAGTTGTTTGTGTATAAAATATTTTCTTACAAAATACTTTTCTAAAGTTTTGGTGTTCGATAATATTTTTTAAAGAAAACCTTTTAACCTAACATTGACCAAAAATGATTTTTAGAGTTGTTTTGAGAATAAGCTATTTTAATTGATTTTTTGAGTTTTTGATTTTTTACAAAAACAAAAGGTTGAAATCCATAAAAGAAGGCAAATGGCTCAAATTATACCGCATAAAAGGAAAGACAACTAGTTATGACCATAGGAGGCCAAGCTACCCAATCTAATTGCAACGAATTAGATAAAGAAGCACGAATGGTCCAATGAGCAGCCTCATTAGCACTTTTAGGACACTAATTAAAAGACACTCCTCCTTACCTAACCATGAATCTAATATTCTCAATAATAATACCGCAATTTCAGAGGAGACAAATCTTTTATCGAATGTGACTTAAGAGTGAAAATTGCTGTCACTTTATTGAGTGAAAAAAACAATACACAGAGAAATCTACTTGGAACCAATCTTCTCTCATCCCTTCAAGATTCATACTCCATCTTTGTTGCCCCATCAACAAATATTTTGGTCAAACATCTTCCACACACATGTGCCCGATCACAGTTAGAGATTGATGTAGAAATAAAAAAATAGAATGGAAAA